TATTAACTATAGTTGGTACCTCATTCATAATTGATTCGTGAATATTGTTAATGCCAAGCGAATACATTCCAGAGGAAGTATCTTCTACACCACAAAGATTAGTTGAGTCCAAAGGAGTAAGAGGCGAAGATGTATTCTGAATATCGGAACGCATATATTCACCTTTAAAAAAAAATAAATAAAAAGTGTTAATCGATTGTCATAAAAATAAAAGAAAACTAAAAGAAAAATAAAAGAATAATTACCCATTTGAAAATCAGTGGTTTTATCTTGTTCACCTTGAGGTATTTCAAATAAATCAAAATCTCCTGAAGCGATATTATCATGATTCGTAACCGAATTTATATATTGATTTGTCAACCATGGTTGTTGTTGTGTCTTGGAAGGAACCGTTTGGTCAAAATAATTATCATGACACGAATGACATGGGTGACATGGTTTAGAGTTATAAATGTTCAAGATGTTTAGTTGAGAAGAAGCACCGTTCGTTTGAAGTAAAGTAAGAGTTTGTAAAGGTTGAGAAACTGATTGAGAGTTTTGAAAACCGTTGTTTATTATAGTAAGAGAGGAATTATTTTGAATGTTTTGTTTAAAATCGTGCATTTCTCGTTATCAATCAATCAATCGTTCAAAAGGTATCGTCAAAAGGTCAAGCTTTACAAAACCATAAAATGGCTTTATATAGATTCCTTTGGATTTTTTTTTTTATTACTTTTATTGGAAAAGAACTTGACTTATTGCAGATACAAAGACCTATAAAATATAAAAATCCTTAATATACACAATTTAATATATAACTAAGATTATTTTGGTAGAGTATTTTATGATTTATATAAGATTTATATAAGATTTATATAAGATTTATGAAGAAAACTTTACGGAGTTAAAAAAAAAAAAAAAGGAAAACGGTAATATTAAATATTAAATATTTAAATTTAAATGAATACAATACCTGCAATAGATTCAAGAAAGATGAAATGAAGATGTGAGATACTTACTTGATAAATTTAATCAAAAGGAATTTTGTACCTGGATACATTTACATGCGTTACGTTACGGTTACGTTTTATAATTTAATAGGCACATCTATATTCTTTACTTTTTTAGTTAGTCGGTTTATTCTTTACATAAAAGTTTTAGCCAAATAAGCATTGCTATACAAAAGAACATCATGTCTGTTTAAATATATATAAGCCATCATCGGAAAGTTAATTGATGCATACATACAAATATTTACCTTTGTGTCAAATGGCGTATTGATATATACGTAGTATCCTCAATGGAGATCCATTTTGTGCTTCAGTGAAAGGTAAGTTGGGAGCAGGCCGATATTATCTAATACCAAACTGAACTGGTCATTCCCTTATATTATACTAAAAATGGTAAATTTACAATAACTTTTTTAGGCTACACAGCCTTGATTGTTATCTCAATTAATTCATGCCGATAATGTTTTTTAAAAAATCTTTGTCAAAGTAATAATAAAATAATAAATAATAATAAAATAATAAAAATAATAAAGGTAACATTCCATAATCTATAAAAATTGTTGGTTAAAAGTATACAACATATGTAACAGTATTGTCTGTTGCGTATAATGTAACTATTATATATGTGCGTAGGTAGGTAGGTGTACATTTAAGTGCGTACGTACATTTAGATACATTTAGGTGTACATTTAGGTGCGTACGTACGTACGTACATTTAGGTGCGTACTTAACGTACTGTACCTACTATTTAACGTACGTACGTACGTACTTAATATACGTACGTACGTACGTACTTAACTGTTAATGTATGTACTGTACATATGTAGATGCTTTGCGTATCAATAAAAAAAAAAAAAAAAAAAAAACTTAATAATAATTTAATAAGTTAATTTTCACCAAAAAAGAACCTTTCTATGCAATAACTTTAATTACATTAATGACGAATAACAACATTAATTCATAATTAATTAAATTATTGTCATTATTAGAAACGTTAAAATTAAAGAACTCATGTATGCTATACTTCATTTGTAATGAAAAGAACGTTTATTTTTATAAAAATGTTTTAAAAATTATTTAAATGAATATTAATGCTAGGTCAAAACTTAACAAGGAATGTACGTACGTATTGCCCCTCATTTTTTATTTTTTATCGCATTTACGATTTGACGTTAATTTAATTATTTCCATTATTGGATTCATATTAACGAGATGTGGTCAAGTGAAAGGAGGATCTAAAATGATATCAAAATGATATCTAAAATGATATCTAAAATAATTTTTTTTTTATTATTAATTAAAAAAAGAAATATTCAACTTTTAACTTACGACTCGTGACTTTTATTTACTTTTATTAATTGTTTATTAATTGGAATCTAATATCGATATATGATATGATATATGATATATGATATATGAGCTAATATCGATATATGAAAATATATAAGTAAATATATATGACCCAAGGGTTTTCTAACGATTTATATAAAGTTTAAAATAATTGGATAGATAGTCAACGTCATGAAAGTTCTAAAAGAGTAATACGGTAATACGAACTATATCAATTTAAGGAAAGGTTGGAGAATCTAATTCTCTATAAGATTCAACTATTTTACCATAGCATTAGAACCCGAGCATATCCAAAGGGCTGTTATCATTGACCGTAGTAATTATAGTATGATAATAATGATGCGGGATCCACAATTCAGTTTTTCATTACCATTCTAGAAGGAGATAGAAAGCCGAGAGAAAAATATTTATCCATTGGTAAATCTAACTAGAAAAATCTTGGTGTAGCAGAAAAATTGAAAATTGATTGGCACTATTAGAAATCATACGATTCCTAAATGATGTAATAAATCATGTAAATGCTTTAAAGCTTCTAATTTTGGTAACCCTTAATTATTTTATTTAGGGTACTTAACGTTTATGGCGTAAATGGTCTACTACGTATCTGAAAAGGGTCTATTTTACCACTTATTTACTGCTTATTAATCAACACATCCTAACCTTTCGATGTGCGTGTTGTACTACTACAATATTACCCTAGTGAAAAAACTTTATACAAGTTTGTAAGCATTGGCGAAGCGTTTAAAAATCTATAGGCCAAGAAGAACTGTATTGAAATCGTACCTTTTTTTTTTTTGCATTTTTGATTACGTTATCTTTATGCTTATTGTTTTTATTGTTTCTTTTTTTAATTAATAAAAAAGAATTCATACCAATACGTATGTACGTACGTAAGTACGTATATACACATACCAGATACGTACGTACGTACGTACGTACGCACTTGCTTATCTATACGTACGTACGCACTCGCTTATCCATATAGAATTCAACCAGTCACAGCACTCCTTTATTACACTCTTTGCACTATAATTATTGTGACGGCTGATGCTGAAGTTTGGCTGATGTTGAAGCTAAAAAATCTGATTGGTTAGGGTTAGGGTGATCTGCAAAATTTAGCCAATCAGATTTTTTAGCTTCAACATCAGCCAAACTTCAGCATCAGCCGTAACAATTATTATAATTATTATAATGAATGCTTCACTTATTCAAACATATTCAAACATATTCAATTATTCAAACAAGCACCATTTATATAAATAATTTAAAATAGCATGTTCATATTCAATATTTCGATTATCATTTATCATAATTAATATTTCGGGTATTGTCATTTTAAATTAGCTCGTTCATAATTAATTCATAATTAATATTTCGATTATTGTCATTTTAAATTAGCTCGTTCATATTTAATATTTCGATTAATGGGATTGGGTATTGATTTACTTTTCATTCTGCTATATTAATCAAACGACTTTCATTGCGTACGTATGTACAATCAGATCGAACCTTAAATGGGTCTTCAATCAATTTGAAAATACAGTAAAATTTTTTTCAAAAAAGAAAATAGGATCGCTATTATCATTATCCTTGAAAGTTCGTCGATCATTTATTAATTCTTTATTCATTCAAAATATTGCGCATAATATCTTAAAGTAGTTATATGTATGAGTTATTTAAAAGAATTTCCTTTTTCTTAATTAAAAATTATCGTTATCTTTCAAACAATGATTTTATAAAGAATAGTTTGATTTTTTTTTCGTAAATTTTAATCCGAATAAAATTACCCAATTAATTTATCATTTGATTAAACTTTTTCTTAATCGTTAACCTGCGGAAAATATTAATCCCTAAAGTTGATTTTCCCTAAAGTTGATTTCTAGAATAGAAAAATGTTAAAATTAGATGAAACCATATCGATTCACCCATCAAGAAACATGCATCAACACATGATCTGATGGGAATGTTCTGTGAGTGCCGGCACCGTGCCCGGTACTCGTAAAATCCTAATCCAGTAAATATACTATTGAATACTATTACGTATACGTAAATCATATTACATATATACATATTATATACATATTATATACATATTATATACCATGTGATTTTATAACCTTTGGATAAATACAATGACAGTGTTTTACAGTAAAAAGAAAACCAACAATTGGATCAATTCAATAAATTAAAAGAAAATTGCTCCGATTAATAAACAATGTATATATAATTAAATGCATTCTAAAATATATTTGTAAGTTGATAAAAATTTTCGGGTTCATTTATTTATTTTTTTTTCATTTATTTATTTATTTATTATTTATTTATTTTTTATTTAATATTTTTTCTTGATCATGCAAGTTTACGCGATATAAACAGTCTAAAGTATGCGTATAACACATATACATACAAATATTGTAAATCAAAAGGAAACTTTTAAAGATTTGATAACTCTATTTAAATAATCCATTGACCTATAAGTTCTTATTGATGCAATAAAATTTCTTATATGCACCCTTGAAATTCATGTGACAATTTCAAAAAATTGGTTTATTTGTTTATACGTACGTATTTTACGGTTAGAAGATATGGCATGAACCGAATATCTCGCGAAGATCAGTTAAGTTTAAACTCAAAAATCATATCATTATTATTGTATAACAATTGATAACTTTATAACATACATTACGTATATTATTATAACATTACGTATATCATTATAACATTACATATATTATAACATTATATTATAACATTATACTATAAAATTATATATATTATACGTATATTACAACATTATACTATAAAATTATATTATAACATTATATTATAACCTTAAATAATTTTGTTATACTATAATACTTGTAATACACTTCTTTTTTAAATACCTTAGATTCTTATTCTTCATATTACTGGTCGTGTCCAAGTTAAAAAAATCGTTAGTGGCTTTTCATGAAAAAGAAGGCTTGTACGTATCGGATGTTGAAAGATTTGATCACATTAAAAATATTAAAAATATAGTAATGATGAAACTTGAAAAAAAATGTCGTGATGGGTTTAATCTAACTCCAAAGAAAAAAAAATGCTGATTATCAATTTGAAGATTCTATGACGATAACGATATTGATATTGAAGATCTTGCAATTAGATGTACTCAATTCAAATGCTAAGTAATGTAAGACTTCATGCACATAAACAATCGAATTAAATAAAAATTAAATAAAAATGTATTATGATAAATTCAATTTTTTTACCCTTTTTGTTAAA